CCCCACCCCAGCCCCCTCCCCCAAATTCTCCCCTTTCGGATATATATTTTAGTTGATTTTAGAAAGAGAGAGAGAGAAACATCGATTTGTTCCGCTTATTTGTGCGTCCATCGGTTGCTTTTTGTTTGTGCCTGATTGGCGATCGGGACCAGGGCTCAGCATTTGTTCAAATGTCATTTCCTACGGGAAACCCTCCCACACTTCCCCCAGCTAAGTTAAGTTTGCTTCTCTTATGTTTTTTGGTTTGTTTTTATGACACGCTTGTTCCGCGTGTAAATCACGTGCCTCGGCCCCGCCCTCGCGCTGGGTGGTGGGTCGCTGGGCTCGACCACATTTGGTGATGCCGGGGCCGCCCAGCGGTGGGTGAATGTGGTGTAATATTTGAAGGTCGGTAAAATAGTGCACAGAATAGCACTGCAGAACCGTAAAATACTTTGCAAACTCTAAACCTTCATAAATTCACGCTTTCCGGTATATTGAGTGGCCATCGACTGATTTTTAGATAAAATGTTGGTATAACCAACGTCTTTACATTTCAGTACTTGTTTAAAAAGTACGTGGCCCACCTGTTTCTCTGCTTTAATAACAGTGCCTTCCAAAGACTAGGTAAGCACTCAGATATTTGCTGTCTTGTTTGAGCATTTTAGGATCATAATCCTGGATGTCTGTAGACAAGGTAGGAGGTTGATACAGGTCACTGCCCGAAAGTTTTCTTTGTGGGGAATAAGGCACTTCAATGAATTGGATGACAGCAGAACAAATTTATCCAAGGTTCCTGGTTATCATGTTACTGACATCTGCCTTCTTAGAATATTAGATTATAGAACCTCCCTCAGATACCACTATCCCATTTTTTATTTAGATGTCAGAGAGAGGCAAAAAATTAAGTCTAGTCCCTTAGAAACTGTAATTTGTAATTTTTACCCTGTCCTCTGCAGGTATTCTAAACAAGAAGATAGAACTACATGGGTCCAGTCTGTAATGCTGCAGGGAAAGAAACTGGCCCATTATTATTGTGTAATACCATCTGAAGGTTCAGAGGAGCCTGTATCTTCAGGATGTTGATACCAGGGATGAATTGGCCTTTCATTAGTTAGGGTTAGTATTGCTACATATCACTTATTCAATAAGTGAGTATTACAGTGATGTTCAACATATGTCCATTGACTACCAGCATCAAAAGAATAACTACTAAAATGCATATTTCTAGGCTTCACCCTACTGCTATTGAATCCAGATATCTCAGGAGGGAGCTCAATAGACTGCATTTCAAATGAACTCCCAATGTGATTCTTGTGCACACTAAATGTTGAGACTCACTGATTTATTAAGCACCTTCTGTGCTATGCTTAATCCACTCTAATTCTCTTGCCCAGGAGTCCTGAGATATGAGATTTAGCCTGTGCCCTTGACTAAATTTCATGTTGTTAAAGTGCAGATTGCTATAAATTGTGAAGGGCAATAGATTTTTTAAATCTATTCATTGTCTAATTTGGAATCTCATAATGCTAGTGTGGCAAAAGATTTAACAAATGTTTTTATTAAGAATTTTCACAGAGATATGAGAGTCTTACCAGAGCACAACATTCAGAAAGGAACTTTTCTGAGGATCTAGGTTTCTTTTTGTTTGTTTTGCCACTGGTTTCTGTTAAGATGCTGCTGGCCAAATCCTCATGGTCCCTTGACATTGACAGCCATCTATTCATACATCACACTTGGGATACAGGAACCTTCTAGCCCTAGAGCCCAGTGCCATGGGTCCTGGCTCACTGGTATACTACACAACAGTTTCCAGTAAAGGTCCTGCTTTGCCCCAGGTCCTACTAGGGAGGCATTTGTATTATATAATCAGTAGCCATGAGCCACTGTTTCTTCCTAGCCTGGAACAGTCTCTCTCTTTATGAAGTTCTCTCTCACTATTCTCCAAGGCAATCCCTGCTCTCTCCTACCCCTCCAGGAAACGCAACATAACCTCCAAAATGAACTCAGGCTTTTATGAGACATAGGATAGAGAAAGTAGCTACAACAAGTAGCTACTGTTTTCTTCCAGCTCTGAAAAAGCTAGAGCAGGGAGAACTGCAAAGGGCCTGGCTACCTTTGGGGAAAACTATAAGGAAAACAAAAATATTTCAGTAAGTTATCCTTCTACACTAAGTCCTAAGGCAAGCACCCTTTCAAGCCTTATTTTTCTCATTTGCAAAAGCAGAATGATAATTATCCTACCAGTTTTTCAAAATGATTGAATCAAAAAGCCACTGTCTAGCAGATAAGAGCTCACTAAATGTTAACTGAATCATTCACATCATTAAAGAAGTATGTGAAAGCAGATGACAATACCTGACACGTTACTTTAAATGTTTTTTAATCTGAATCTGTAGAATTTATAATATTAACATCATTAGCTATTATCGTTCTTGAATTTTGTGTTTTCTAGGACATCAAGATGACAACATACACACATGGTCAATCCAGTCCTTCTCTAGGAGATGCAAAACTCAGACCAATGGTCATCGAAATCATAGAAAAAAAAATTGAGTATCTTAGAAAAGACAAGTAAGAGACACACCCAAACTGAAAATCAATTAACTTTATTTTTTTTCAGATCTTCTGTATTGCCATTGTTTCTGAATATCTAACATCCTATTAACTTCATTGGATTGGTTATGAAGAAAGCTTATTTTAAAAAAAGAACTGGAGAAAACACTGACAGATGAAAATAGTGGTTTGTTGGAATATTGGGACTGTGGATAACTGCTTTTGCTTCTTAAAAAAATCCCAATTGTTATTGAAATGTTATTTGTGCAGTAAACATTTTTAAATTAAAAGTAGTTAGGAGCCGGCTGGCATGGCTCTGCAGCTGAGCATCAACCTATGATCCAGGAGACTGCAGTTAGGTTCCTGGTCAGGGCACATGCCTGGGTTGCAGGCTCAATCCCCAGTAGCGGGCGTGCAGGAGGCAGCTGATCATGACTCTCTCTCATCATTGATTTTTCTCTCTTTCCCTCTCCCTTCCTCTCTTTGAAATCAATAAAAATGTATATTTTTTTAAAAAGTAATTAGGCCCAGCCAGGCATGGCTCAGTGGTTAGCGTCGACCTAGGATCCAGGCGATCCGGGTTCAATTCCCGGTCAGGGCACATGCCTGGGTTGTGGGCTGGATCCCTAGTCGAGGGTGTGCAGGAGGCAGCCAATCAATGACTCCCTCATCATTTATATTTCTCTCTCTCTCTCTCCCTCTCTTTTCCCCTTCTCTGAAATAAATAAAGATATTTAAAAAAAGAAAAAAAAGTGATTAGGAGAGCCCTGGACAGGTGCTCAGTTGGTTGGAGCATTGTCCCATACACCAGAAGGTTGTGGGTTTGATTCCTGGTCAGGGCACATACCAAGGATGTGGGTTTGGTACCAGGTCTGGCACAAACAGGAGGTAGTCAATCGATGTTTTCCTCTCTCTCTCCTTTCCTCTCTCTCTAAAATCAATTAAAAAAAAAAAAAACACACACAAAAAAAACCCACATTTCCTTGGGTGAGGATTTAAAAAAAGATTAAAAAATATAATTAGAAGAATACCATTTTGGGGGCTATTTATATTTAATTGGAACAATTGTAATTAAATTCAGCTTAGAATTGATTACCTTAACCACAGTGCTGAGTTCAACAAACAGGAATACAGATTCCATGATGTACATATAGTTTCACATTACCATTTTGACTTTTAGATTATTAGAGCTCAAAAATCAAATCAAAAGCTGTTGACCTTATACCTTACACATTTCTGGATTTAGGTATGAGTCAGACTAAGTAAAACTAGATCTAGCAAAATCTCTTTGGATGAAGTTTTGGAAATCCTTGACAAATTACTTTAAATGTATCTGGACTAATTAAGAAATAGTTGTTTTTTAGAAGGCCTAACCGAATGTAAAGAGCTTTTTTTCAAATGATCTTAACCAAGAACAGTATTCTTGGATTTAGATAGCTCATAAAATTTGGCTGCATTGGAACATATTTGTATTTATTTGTGACCACAGTTTATTCTCTCTTTAAAAGAGCTCCATTTTAGAACTGCGCTAAATATTCTCAGAAAGAGAATTATATCCTCTGATTAGAATGGAAGTTCCAGGGGGCATGGGATGTTTTTTTTCTTCTTTATTCCCTGCCCTCTCCTCAGCATGTAGAAAATACCTTTCACCTAGTAAGTGCTCAGAAAATATTTGATGCTGAATAAATATGTAATAACAAATAATATATCTATTACGAAAATATGTTGAACTTAATTCTTGTTTTTCCATTAGGACTTTAAATATATATGGAACAGTGGTCTTTGGAACAGCATCTAGTTTCTCTGGAATGTTGGCAAACTTCATTTTCAGACACTGCTTCAAGGTTAAACACGATGCTGTGAAGACGTATGCATCACTGACTACACTTCCATTTTTGTCTACTGTAGTTGCTTATAAGCTCCTTGTTACAGATGCTTTGTATTCAGGTAAATTTAAGTTCATTAAAGTATAATGTGTTCATATCTAAGTAAAATTACTCATTAACATATACTGTTGCTGCTGCTAATAATAATCCCTCACATTTATGTGTCGCTTTACCACTTAAAAGTACCTTCACATATATTGTCCTATTTCATGCCCACAACAGTCCTCATCAGGCAGGGCAAGTAGTATCATCTTTTTTACAGATAAGCAACAAAAAAAAGCATGTTCAAATCTAAAAAGCAACATAATACACTGAGAAAAAAAGCAGGCGTTGGCATACTACACACAGTTTCAGATCCTACCTCCTACCCCTTGAGTTTTGTGACATTGGGCGAGTTATTTAATCTGAGATTCAGTTGTCTTACCTATGAATTAGGACTAATAGTACTTACCTCACAGGATTGTGAGAATTAGGAGAGTGTATGTTAAATGCCTAACATAGTACCTGGCAGAGTATGGGCTTCTAATGTTATTTCCTGCCTCCTCTCTCTAAGTTTCTCAACTAGTAATTGATGGAAACTCTGACTCCTGTTCATCAGGTCCCTGCTTAAATATCTCTTCCCCAGGGAAACCTCTGATTCCCTCACTGTTTCTAGATACATTCTCTATTTGTTTTACCTTCAAAGCACTGTGCGCTTAAAATTATTTATTTAAATATCTGTCTAATGTCCTTCTTTCCTGATAGACTAGCCTGAAGGTTAGATATTGGGTCTCTTTTATGCAACACTGTATCCCTAGCACCTAGCACATGCCTGCTACATAGACAATAAAAATATATTAACCTAAAATCCAGATGTCTGGTCTGCTAGTTTAATTTTCTTTATTATAAAGTTGCTTCTGCAGCAACCACATATGTAAGAGATAACTTTCCTTATGTAAAGTATAATAAAAGCACTTTTAAGGCATGCCATAGACGAAATTTCTAATATTCTTTCTACTGTTTCACTGTGGTTGAGGACAGTACAGATAACTACTTTTTGAGGGCACAAGACTTTCTTAATGTTTATCCTGAGTTTTAAAGGGAGACCAATTTACTTTTGTTTTCCAGGTAATATAAGCAAGGAAAATTGTGCTCTGAGAAGTTCACTGGTTGGCATAGTATGTGGTGTTATATATCCAACTGGTTTGGCATTTTCTAAAAATGGGCGTCTGGCTGTAAAGTAAGTCTGTCTGTTTGTTCTTTCTCTTCCTTTTTTTTTTTCTTTAAATATTAGTAAACTCTCCTTATTCTTTAGCTGCCAGTGACACATTTTAATCAAAATATAGTAGTTTGGTATTGCAAATAGCTAACTTTTAACCTTTTTGCTAGCTGCATGGAAGACCTAGGATAGAAATCATCAGTTAAGGAGAAATCAAATTTTTCATAGAATATGCATCCAGGAGAAGTGCTTACCTCTTTTTCCTTTTTAGGTATCATACTGTTCCACTGCCACCAAAAGGAAGGGTTTTACTTCATTGGGTGATGCTTAGTCAAACACAGGTAAAAGGAATGGCGATTCCTCTAATCTTTCAGCTGTTCTTTGGAGTATATAATGGTCTACGACATTATGCAATATTTGAAAGTACACTTGAGAAAACTGTGCATGAAGATTAACCAAATAATGAATGGATTTTTTTATGATGAGGACTCAGGTATTGCTGAAAGAATTCAAAGTAACTCCGGCCAATTTCTTTCTGTTCTTTTTGCCTAGTATATAGCAGGTTGTCAGTAAATATGCAGTAACTCAACAAATAAATGTAAGTTTTGTCTTTCTTCCTCATTGTATGTGGAAATGGGTTTGAGGCCTCAAGTTCTGACCTATACATTTATATATTCAGTCATTCATCAAACATTTAGTGAGTACCTGCTGCATCTCAGGCACTAGAACTCACAATTAGAAGAGAAATTAAAAATGTCAACACATAGCATGAGAGAGTTTGAGAGATATACACATAATTCTGTGGGCACATTGAAGATGTGGCTATTAATTATTTGTGGCTATTAACTATTTGTGAGCAGAAGGGAAAGCTATAGGGAAAAAGAAACATTTGACCTAAGTTTTTAAGAAGTTGAAAGTTCATAAGAAAGCAAAATATAGAAATAGCATACAGCCCATTCCTCTACCCTAAACTCTGATTCAGTATACTTACTAGCTTCTTATCATTAACAAATTATTTTCATTGTGCTGTTTAAAGAACATATATTGAGTGCCTGTTTGCTATGCATTCATATAGGTACCAGGGGTACAAAGATTCAGTCCCTGCCCTCAATAAGCTTAAAATCTAAAGAAAGACAACACAGCATGCTTCTTTAAGTCTGCTAGAGTATTCCTGAGCTACACATTTATCTTAATTCAGGAATGAACACTGATGAAAAGAGTAAGACACAGACTGGAACCCCACCCACAGCCCACTTTCCTTGTCTTAACCATACTCATACTGAGATTAAAAATTTGATCATCTGAGGACCCAAGCAACCCAAAGCAGAAATGGAAGTCTTAATAAGGCGCTTATAGCATCATATATAACAAACTGAAATACATGTATTCTTTTGTAATGAAAAAAAAAAGACCAGTTACCCATCTAGTTTTGTATCAATAATACATGATACTTGAAACTCTAAGGAAAGGGCAAGTGATT